GAGCAGAAGCTAATTCTGTGCAGTAATATTTCATTTTATTTGTTAAGTGGTTATTTTTCCTTTTTTTTTTTCCAGAGTGTGTTGACATTAATGTAACTCCCGACAAAAGGCAAATTTTACTTCAGGAGGAGAAGTATTTATTAGCAATTCTAAAAACTTCTCTGATGGAAATGTTTGGTAGTGATGTTAACAAACTGAATGTCAATCAGAAGCTTCTGGACATTGCAGGTAGGACAATGTGGAAGTTTTGTGTGAAGTTTTCCACTGAAGATGGAAATATGTGGGTTTAAAAACTCAAAGAACACATGAAATAAGTTAATAAATAAATTAAAATAAAGGAGGACCCTAAGTTATGAAGTGGTTGTTAGGGAAATGACATATGCAAGCACAGCATGATTTACAGGCAACTTTGTGAGGAAAACATTAACACAAAATTAATTGATAATGCTTGAATGATTTCTCGCAAGATATTGAAAGAGATCTGTGTTTCCTTTATGTAAAAGTCCTTGAGAAAGAATACTTAAGGGCTCATAAATAAAATCTGAAAATTGAGTGTGAGTTTATTGGATTTTAACTTTGATTCTTTTATGATATCTAAGAAATTGATGATTCTCTTGTGACTGTACAATCTTGAAAATTGCTTTTCTGTGTTAACACCACCTCACCCTCCTCCTTTCATTCAACAGAACCCCTTCTAATTTTCTTTTTTACTGATATATAGAATCAGTTTTAGCCTGATTCTTACTGTTATTTTAAATTAATCTTTAGTAAAATGCATGTTGGAGTGACAGATTACGAGGCTGAAGTCCTGTAATAACCTGCAGATCCCATATCACAAGTGCCTATTGTGTCAGCTCCCTAACACTTTGCCAATGGAATTTTATAGTGACTATTAAAGTGTAAGAGCAATTCACTTTTCATTGTCACTCAGTCATTAAACTCTTTTGATAATATAAATAAATGTGCTGATGGGCCTGATTGCTGTTCCAGTTTAAGAGGAGACTATAAATTCATTCTCACTAGTGCCATTAAGTGTCTCCAAGATGTAGCTGCTTTTCTGCCTGATATTAATGCATTTCAGCCCCATATTCCTTGTCTGAAGCTTAAGGGCTCCTTTGAGCAGTTTGCTATTCTTCTACCTCTTTTCATTCCCTTTACTAAAGCACATCATTTAATTCATGTTTCCAACTCAACTTAAAATCTTGTAATATTCTTTATTCTGATTTTGTCAGGCAACTTGAAGAAGTCACTTCCTGAAGAGACAGAAAAGCCTCAGGTAGAAATGCTGTCTGACTCTGAGACTGAAAGCCCAAGCAGGGAAGGCAAAAGAACGATGACTCTTGCCAGATTAAGGGAGTCCTTCTCTCTCCATCAAACACCAGAGTGTAATTCTCAAAGCCCTAAAAAGGTAAAACAGCAGCAGAGATCCCCCAGACAAATGTTACTTGATAGAACTGTGAGCATTGCAAAGACTCCAAAGGCTGTGCTGAGTAAGGAGCCTCGGGGTTGTCAGAAGATGGACTCAAAGGGGTCAGTTCTGAGCAGGTATCTGAGAAAATTAGAAGATAACTCAGATTCTGGATTCTGTAGCATTTCGGAGTCAGATGCTGGATGTAGTACACCAGAGGCTGGGAGCTGCATCAACAGTGAAAGTGCAGTTAATTCTGAAGAAGAATTCTGGAGCACAGAAGAACAGCTTCAACCTGCTGGCTGCAGTAAGGAATCATTGGACTGGGATGTGCAGGTCTTGGGCACTGAACCTGAGTCTGATCGAGGGAACGACTGGACTGCTCAAAGGGAGTTCTCTCAAGAAGCCAACAGTTCCTCTCCAAGAGTAAAACGTTTTAAAAGCAGAAAGTTTAAAAGCAAAGCGGAGGATTTGGAGGCAGGTAAATACCCTGAAGTGAAGAACACTTGTGTTGATGTACTGGTGGAAGTTCAAAAGAAAATCGTGCCTCTTGAGTTCTCCATGAAGGTTTTGGCAGAAAAGGTCAAAAAGGTAATACAGCAACAACAGAAAAGGACAGAAACAGAAAATTACAGAAGATTTAAAGCAAAAATTAGTCCTGGGGACAATAAAGTAGCAGAAGATGAATTAAGAAAAGAGATCAGGTATTTCCACTTTCTTAACACATTTTGTTCATCAATTAATAAAATTAATTAAGGAAAAATGTAATTTCTGTCTTGGGGAGTGGGCAGGGGGCTTTCAGGTACCTGTTAGTTTTGGGTCTGTCTTTTATATAATGTCACTAAAATGTCTATTTGATGAACTATTTTTCTGACAGAGCAGCCGTTTGAACCAAGTGCAAACAGAATGTGGAAAAGGCACTAAAAAGGCCACAAACATTATAGGTTTGGCTGAGTTCAGCCTGGTAAACTGCAGTGCAGTCAGAGAAATACCAAATTTCATGACAGATAAGAACAGTCTGAAAAGACTGTACAGCTCATATCCTCCCTCATGTGAATGTGAAATTTGGTGAGACATGGCTGGAAAAATAAGTTACGCTCAGGTGGTCACTGGACAGTAAAAGTCTGTGATTTGTTGATATTTGGAAGAATGTGATAGGAGAGTCTTCTAATTGTGAAGAGGAGGCAGAATTAAGGCAGCTGCCATTCAAAACCATGATGCCATCCTCAGTGCTGTTCAGCTGGACTATTGCTGCTCTGCCTGCTTCTAATTGTATTCTCACAAATGGCAGAGTCCTGAACGAGTCCTGTCTTAATGATGGGTTGTGTTCTGCCAGATGTGGCCTCATCAGTCAGTGGTAGATCCCAGAGAACTCTACTTTTTAACATTTATATCCCACTTAAATGTAATTTTTTTTTTAAATGTAAAGTGTGTTCTGCAGGGGAGAAAAAGGTGCCTTTAAGTTTTACTGTTTAACATGATAACTGAAGGGGTGTAATTTATAATCTCTGTGTTTTTTGTGTACAGTAAAGAAATGTTTGCAAAAATGGAAATCATTGGCCAGTTCAATTTAGGGTTTATAATAACAAAGCTGAATTCTGATCTTTTCATAATTGACCAACACGCTACTGATGAGAAATACAACTTTGAGATGTTGCAACAGCACACTGTTCTCCAAGGTCAGAAGCTGATAGTGTAAGTATTTGCAGTGTTAATAACATTTTTTAAGCTTAATTCAATGTTTCAGAAGGATAACTGATTATATTTATGTAGCATTTCTCACATTCAGAACACTTGAGACTAAAGTGGTTTTTCTGTTCAGTGTTTCAAAGAGTCAATCCTCACATGAAAAATAAATCCCCTGCATGCAGTTGTAGCTGCACAGCAAGGCAGTGGTCAGAGAGATCTCACAGTGGCCTTGCATGGCAACCCACAGTTTGTCAAGCATCCAGTGAGGATATTGGAGACTGTTCCTGCACAAGGAATGCTGCCCAACTGACTTAATCCTGCTAAGTAACTGTTCAGTAGTGATATTCTGGGTTTTTTTAAACAAAGCAGAGGGTTAACAAATGTTTCAATAGAGAGCTCTGTTTTACTATCTCTAGATTGCTTCTGAAACCTGTCTTAAGTGCTCTGCACTGTGTACCTGTGCAATACCATCTTTTTGTCTCTCTTCCAGGCCTCAAAATCTCAATTTAACAGCAGTAAATGAAACTGTATTGATTGAAAACCTGGAAATATTCCAAAAAAATGGGTTTGATTTTGTCATAGATGAAAATGGTGAGTTTGGACCCGTTTTAAAGTAGTTTTTCTCTCAGGACAAAGTAATTTCCCGTATTGCTCTGTATCTTTATTATCACTGCAAATCTTTCAGCTCCTGTAACTCAAAGAGTTAAATTGGTATCGATGCCAACAAGCAAAAACTGGACTTTTGGTCCCCAAGACATCGACGAGCTGCTCTTCATGCTGAGTGACGGCCCTGGAGTCATGTGCAGGCCCTCCAGGGTCAGACAGATGTTTGCTTCTCGAGCCTGCAGAAAGTCTGTAAGTGCTGCAATTCATGCTTGGTTTCAGATGCCAGATTTTCTGATGTCCTATGGGTGGCTGTCTCTGTATGTGCATCACAGGGGAAGTTTATTTACCCTTTGTCAACAGCTGATATCCTTTGTTCTGTTCCTCCTGTTTTTATCTAGTGGAACTTGGGAAACATTTCTGGTAGTTTTTTCTCGTGTTCCAGACTTATGAGCACTGTGTTAGGTGTGTTTTGTCTTCTGATCCTCTGGTAGGTTCTTCTGCTTTAAATGCCTTGCACAGAACTTCCCTGCTGCACTATGTGAAGTGCTGCTCTGGTGTGTGTCTGCTGTCAGCATGGAGAAAGGAAATAACAATTTCTTTTTTCTCCTTTATTTGCAGGTGATGATTGGAACTGCACTGAATGTGCAGGAAATGAGAAAACTGATCACCCATATGGGTGAGATTGAGCATCCCTGGAACTGCCCCCATGGAAGGCCTACTATGAGACACATAGTCAGTTTAGACTTGATTTCACCAGAATAAGTCAGTTTCTGCTTATTAACATTGTTCATTTTAATTCTTGGTGATGTTTTAAGCTTTTACCATGACTCTTCTATTTGGAGTAAAAGCATTTTAGCCAGTCTTCAAAGTTGGAAACAATAGCACTTGAAGGCATTCAGCAGGGTTTCATTGTTATTCATGTCAGGTCAATAATACTGGAATTCATGTGTAAATAACTTTTATTGAAGTTTACTTGTGTGTAGTACTTATTTGTGCAGCAATCAAAACTTTTATAAAATAAATATAGATGTTTATATATAAAGATCACGAGTAGGTGAACCTCATTTATAGCAAATACACTGATTCCTAAAATGAAGTGGAATGTGAACTTAAGTCTCTGGTAATGCCATAAAACAAATACTAACTTCTCTGTGTTTATACATTCTGCATATGATAATTTTAAAGAAAATGGAAGTGATACAGAAGATAAAGTACTTTTTTTTTTTACTTATACTAAAACTGGGTTTCATTAGATAATTACTTCAAGCATTAATATTGCACTTAATGATTAACTTACTGGTGTCTGTGTTTCAGGCTTGAATAGAATAATTCATCTGGGATATTTACTTTTAATTAGCCTTGTTCTCTTCCATATTCCAAACTTGTTTTTCAAGAAGAGGGATCCCTTTTCTCACAGGGAATGCAAAATTGCCGGTAAGGTCAGTCCAAATTCTGGAAACCTCGAGTAGCATCAAAATACTTATTTTGAATCTGAAACCATTAAAACAGATAGCTAAGCTCTTCCACGCCCTTAGGACCAAGATTTGACCTAAGAAATCTATGTGTTTATGGGTTATATTCCCTCCACCCCTCCCTTTGCCGCGGCCGTGACGCTACCGATGTCCCTCCCGTGCTCGAAGCCGCCCGTGGCGGACCATGCACAGTGTGTGTGTCTGTGCGGGCTGGATGCCGTCAGTAAATCGTGTGGGGCGGCAATCCCCGCCCGTGGCGGACCATGCACAGTGTGTGTGTCTGTGCGGGCTGGATGCCGTCAGTAAATCGTGTGGGGCGGCAATCCCCGCCCGTGGTGGACCATGCACAGTGTGTGTGTCTGTGCGGGCTGGATGCCGTCAGTAAATCGTGTGGGGCCGCAATTCCCGCCCTGCCCGGGCTGTGTCAAACCCGCCGTTGTTATGGCCACGGCGGCGCCGCCGCCGCACTGCGGCTGCGCGGGGGCTCCGTGAGGGGACGGGGCTCCGTGAGGGGACGGGGCTCCGTGAGGGGCGCGGGGCTCCGTGAGGGGCGCGGGGCTCCGTGAGGGGCCGGGGCTCCGTGAGGGGGGAAAGGGCTGCGGTACCCGCTGCCCCCGCGGCCCTCGGGAAGGGCTCGGCCCCGGCTGCCCCCGCGCTGCCACTCGTGTCCCCCCGCGCAGCGCTGCGGTCTGAAGGGTGAGGACACGGCGGTGGCCGAGGCTGTCGCTGCCGGCCCTCGCCGCTGCGGCACACGGGGGTTGGGATCTTGCGCTGCTTTCACTCGGTGAAATGAGTGCGAGTTGTTACTGCAGCTGCTCGAGCGGTGCTGTGACCTTCAGTTAGCTCTTAACTGGTGAAATAACTACGGCATCCAGGGGTTGTGCTGTGTTGTGTTGTGGTTCGATCTGCAGCTCGTAACCTGGGAGGCAAGTTAAATCAATAGCGTTAGTGCAGCTGTGACTTTCAGGAAACTCGCCAAACTCATGTCTTTCAACTTTTCTACATAATTAAATCTAGACACCTAAAAATCGAGTAAAGATGGAAATCTCCATGTAGCAAAATTAAGTCCACTGCCACCACTTCCATCAGGATGGTTTGATGGATGACTTGGAGGTAACTCCCAGGCAGTGCTCCCTGTTAACCCAGTGCCCGCCTGCCACACAAGCTGACACCATTGCCTTGAGGAACTGCTGTTACAGAAATAACTTCAATATATGCATGTATAATAATTACAGAAAGATTGATATTTTTTTGTGTAGTTAGCTGTGTTTTGAGTTTGTGGGGGTTTTTTTTTATCAACTCTGTTTCAGGGTAAATAGATTTACATCAGACAGAAGTAAATTTTCATTTTTCAGAAGGAAAATACACGTTGAGACAATTCAGCAGCTATGCCAAAGAGCAATAAGAAAGATGTCAAGAAAAAAGATGTCAAGAAGAAAGACAGTAAGACAGCAGATGGTGAGAAGGCAGAAGAATCTGTACATGCTCCTGATCCTGCACAAGATACTACAGCTGAGAATGGTTTAACAGAGCTGCCAGATTTGCAGAGTGATTCAGGGAATGCTGTGGGAGAAACTCAGGCAGCTCCAGAGATCCCAGAGGAGGCAGAGGAACCTCCAGTCCAACCTGTTCCCCGGTACCGGGAGGAGCCTATTCTTGCTCAAGTTATTGTAAAAAGGTATATGTGCTTGTTCCAAACCCAGCAGTGAATAATTCTCATTTAAGTATCTGTGCTGTACCCAGGGTCATACAAACACAGGTTTGACTCTTGATTTGAGGCACAGAATCGGGTGATTCAGACCTGTAGCACTGACACCTTATGAGACACACATATAGAATTCTGCTGCCTTCAGAAGGATGCTCTTTTAGCTTGTTCATTTTTGGTGAAGTTTTTTTTTGTTTAAATATGCAAACAGTTGGTGAAGAAACTATAGTTATATCATGTAATGTTTAGATGCTGCTGCCTTGTACTGTTTAGGGCTGCTCATATCCCTTAAGAATATCCTAAACTGGGGAAGCAGGTGAATGGCAATGCTGACAATATCCTTTGGTATTTCAAGGGGACTGTATGAAATGTTTCACGTACCAACATTCCTGATTGTAATCTAGTAAAGGGCTACCAATGTGATATTTTTTCTTAGTTGAAAGAAATATGGGTCTGAGGCAACACAACACTTATGTGAAATATTGCAAGGAAGGTTCAAAAAAGTGGAAATTTTCTGGTTCATTTTTCTATGCAAGGCACAACAACTGACCTTTGTGTAGATCATGGTAAATCCAAGATCATTTGTTTTTATTTATTATAGTGATTTAGATCTACTGGCAGTGACTTGAAATCTTCATCTTTAGTTTGCTTTCTTTGTAGCTATGAAGGTGAACAAGTCAATGGATTGTATGAGGGTGAAGGATTTGCATGTTTTGAGGGAGGGGATACTTACAAGGTGAGTGGATAATTCAAAAAAAATAAAATAGTAGTGGACCAAGTTCTATCTGTAGAACAGGCAGACTGTTTCTTTTAATGTGGGTGGAGTCTGAGCACTCAGTAGCATTGAAAGTTAGCATTAAACCTCTTGATTTTTGGCATTAAATTTGTTGGTTTCTGGCATTAAAACTCTTGATTTGAAACTAGTTGGGGAGGAATCAGTATGTAATTCTTTTGAAGTCCTGTGGGCTTCAGCTGGGGAAAGAATAAATCTGCAAATGATGCCATTCTCTTCCTTTTGAAGGGCACATTTTCTGAGGGGTTTATGCATGGACAAGGGACTTACACGTGGGCTGATGGAGTGAAGTACGAGGTACAGTACAATTGAAGTTACAACTGAACACAGTTACACCCAGTGAGATCTGCAAACTGAAGGAAAGTACCTCAGTTGTGGGAACTGGTACAACTGCAGAACTGTGGCAGTGACTTGAATCACAAGCCTGACTTCACCCAGAGAGCTGGGGGACACTCTTAGGGATTTTTTTTAACGCTGTCATTGAATCTTTCAGGGAACATTTGCTGAGAATGTGCAGATGTTTAATGGCCGTTATACGTGGAACGATGGCAGCGTCTATGAAGGATCAATCAAAGATGGAATTAGGAATGGATTTGGCTTTTTCAGGAGTGGAACTCGTCCTGTTTCTTACCTTGGCGAGTGGTGTAATGGCAAAAGACATGGCAAGGTGAGTAAGAACCAAAGGAGAGCAGGGGCCTGGGTGGTACCCTCAAGAACAGCAAGTGTTACCGAGCAAAGGTTTTGCAGAAGTGTTTTGTTCTGTTGCATGGTCTTGTGCTGTGTAGAGGTTTGTTTTCCCTAGGGATTTTTTTCTGAAGTTGTGAATGTAGTCAACACTGTAGAGCTACTGCTGGAAGGGAGTGGGTCAGAAAACTGATCTGCCTCAGAGTGAGCACTGTAATTAAGTTACCAAAGTTAGTTCTCTTCAAGTATTTCCAAGTGGTGTGAAAAGCACGGTAATGTGATGTAATATGATTTTTCTTTTGGACAGTTGGTGTTTTTTTAAGGTCTTAACTCATATTCTTCAAAGGAGGTTGCTTTTTTATTTAATTCTATCACTTCAGTTGCTTTCAGCACATCATCTCAAAGTGACTGTAAGTATTAGAGCGTGGTTTCTTGTGTCATATAATTTGTATGCGGTGTTTTATTCATGTGGGTGAATATTTAGGTATTTCAATGGCCTGTGCTGTTTGTTTCAGGGTATCATTTATTTTGATGAGGAACATGCCTCGTGGTACTCAGGTGAATGGGTCAATAACGTCAGAGAAGGATGGGGAATGAGACGGTAAATGTGACAAAAACACACTTCCTGGGTTTGTGTTTCATGGGTGTTATCAGACAGTTTCTCCTGTTGTTTCAAATGGACACAAATGCTGTCATTTCATACTCCTGCAGTGGAACAAAAATGTACAAAGTGCTCTGTGATAATAAACCAGACCTTCTTTATAACTTACATTTTTATGTGCTGTATTTCTATTGATCATTCACATGAAAGAACATCTAAAGACAAACTCCCAACTCAGCTTTAGGAAACCACAATTCAGTATTTAAAAACACACTGGATTGATTTGAGCAGATGGAGCTGCTTTATGAATAAATGACTTATATCTAGAATTACATATAAACAAATGTTTTTACTAGCTATGGCAAAGACTCTTAAAAAAAAAAAAAAGAGCTGGTTAACATTTTTAGTGGTTTGTAGGTTAAAAATAGTAGGTAAACAGTGGCTACAACCACACCTCTGTATCTGTGCCACAGCGAGCCAACTTTCAAATTAACGGTTATATTTAGCAATAATAAATTCTAAATTTATTAGCAATGAGATTTTGCATAAGCCTTTCACAAGACCAACTGAGAATTTAATATGAAGGAATCATTAGCTGTTATTGTTTTCTTGCAGCTACAAGTCTGGAAATGTCTATGAAGGTCAGTGGAAGAAAAATGTACGACACGGTCATGGAAGAATGGTGTGGTTGGCAGCTAATCAAGAGTATGTAGGACAGTGGGTGAATGGCATCCAGGTATTAACTGCTTCCCCAGAAACCTCTCTTTAGTTCCGCATCTGTCCACTGCTCTAGGAAAGCTGGATAGGGAGTTTTGTGCAATATCAAAGGAGCTTTGTATGGTTTTTACCAGTTGAGATAGTGAAAATGTGTGTTTTATTGTAAGTTGATTTGCATGTTAGCAATACTGAAATTATTAAAAGGCTTTTGATTTAGTCTTATAAAACCATAATTTAACCCCCTAATGGAAAATACAAACATTTTTCAATTAAAAAAAACCTAAAAGAATTTGAGTGTTTGTGGCTATACTTAGCCTGAGATATTACTTCAGCTGTAAGTATGTGTGATAATTTGCTTCTGTGTCACCTGTAAAATATTAGACCACACTGTTCCCTCTGGGAAAAGATGATTTTGTGGCATTTTCTGTTTCTTCCATTTATTATTCTGCTGGAAAAAGAACGTGAGCTACCTGCTCAGTCTTTTCACTCTGCTGAAGTTACCAAGCAGTCCAGCTTTGGACCATCCCGGCTCTCTGGCACATTGTGCAGGATTACAGGCAGGAGGATTCAGGCAGTCAGGGTGGCTCTGGGAGTCCTGTGATAAAATTTGCTCAAGTGTGTGTAGATCCAGTGTATCCCCTGGGTGTTTTCCCAGGCACCTTTGCAGAGCATCTGTGGCTGGTTTGAAATGCTGCAGCAATCACCTGGGGGGCCTTTATTTCAGGGAATGGCCTGGCCCTAGAGCAGCAGCAGCAGCAGCTCTTCTGGGGATGTTTCTTTCTGAACACACTGATTTGTTTTCAGCATGGATATGGCACCCACGTGTGGTTTTTCAAGAGAGCACGTCTGTCTCAGTATCCCCTGAGGAACGAGTACGTGGGTGAATTCAGACGAGGGGAACGACACGGGCACGGCAAGTTCATCTACGCCGGTGGAGCCGTGTACGAAGGCCAGTGGGCTCGTAATAAGAAGCACGGCAAGGTGAGCACTGACAAAGCTGCAGACAACAGCAGAGCAGACTGCTCTGCCCTGCACTGGGGATCTGCAGATTCCTGTACAGAAAACCCCACCCAGTTTGCAGAATCTACCCCAAAGGGCAGAGGGTCCACTGAGAGCAGCAGGAGGCCTTCCAGGGACCCCGCTGGGCCACAGGTGGACTCTGTGGTCAGCTGTGTGTTGTGTGTATAAGGAAATACGTTTCACTGGGGAGATTTTCAGTGCAATAGGTACATACAGAGTTTTGCAGTGGTTGGTCAGGATTTCACACCTCCACTGTGAGCTAATGGGTTTCAAGCTGTCCTTGCACAGAGAGGTTCTTACATAAAACAGATTTTTGAAAAAGCTGTGAGTACCACATATGCAAATTAAGGATTGCACACAAGCCTTTCTATATGTTTTTCTTCAAAATCTTTGTTCTGTGTTGATATCAAGATTAATTCTGTCTGTAGGGCAAGTTTATCTTCAAGAATGGTCATGCTTATGAAGGAGAGTTCGTAGATGATCGTCTGGTAAAAGGTCCTCAACTGCAAGTGAATGCAGTGAATGCAAAAGAGCTGAGTGCCATTGGTGCTCATTCTATCACTGGTAAGCAGCTTCACTAAACAAATTTCACTCAATTCACATTTTGTTGTTCCATTTTACTCTAATGTGAAGCTGTTTGTACTTACTCAAGAGGCAGATGAATTTCTTCAAAGAACTTGGATAAAAATGGGAGTTATCTTAATAATTAATGACTTTTACCTCCATGCTTTATTTCCTGTATGTGACACTTTGAGTGCAGTGACACAACCACTCTCCATCTTGTGATGTTTTCAGAACACTGTTGTCTGAAAGTTTCATAACATACGTAATGTCTGCATTTCCTTTTGGCTGGGGGTTAATTTGACAAAGTTACCCTTCAGTTGTTATGCTGTTGATTATGAAATCCCTACGCCTCATTATAAAGGAATCTGTTGATCAAAGTCAGTGAGATAAAAAGTAATAATACGTGTTTTATTTTTCTGTGTATGTGCATATTTATATGTTAAACTTTGTTTGTTCTAATTTATTTTATTTGCATGGTAGAAAATATCACAATCATTGATGACTCGGAAAGTCCTTCTATCCTGGGGTCAGATATTGAGCTGGATATATCTTCACTGCTTGACTTGTTCCCAAGGGAAGAGAGACAGGAAGAACTGCACCAAGTAAGAGTCTACTCTTTGATATTTTCAGTTTTCCCCTGCAGTGTCTTTCATATTATTTTATTTCTGGTTTATTTGTATTAAAATAACTCTTTCCGTTAAAGAATTATTTGGAAATCTGAAGGCCGTGAAAACAAGAAAAGCCAGAAGAATGAATAAAGAATAAATAAAAAAAGAATGAATAAACAGGATTGCCTCTTCTGAGCTTCCACTAAAAAGCAATAAAAAGAGGTTAACATATCTGGAAGGGCATTCAGCAACTACCTTTAACCACTCTGAGGTTTGTCTGCTGACAGAGGACAATTCATTTTTATCAGTCACCAAACCCCATGTATTTTAACTACTTCTGAGTAATGCTTTTGGGAACACTTAGCCAGGGATTCGCTCTTCAAAGCGGCAAGGTCAGAAAATTATCTGCCCAGTTACAGGATCAATACAAGCTGATCTCTGCTTGCTCTGAGCTGATGCTGAAAACATGGCCTGCTTCATTTAGGTGGAATGTGCTGTGCTGAGGAATATCACGATGCTGAGAAGAGTCTACAGCTTCTACAGTGCCTTGGGCTGTGTTCACTCTCCTGACAACACTTTCCTCATGACTAAGCTCCAGTTTTGGAGGTTCCTGAAGGACTGCCGGTTCCACCTCTCCAAAATAAGCCTTGCTGAAATGGATCGGGTGGTGAGAGGTTTGTGCTTCCAGTGGCTGGGGTCTGGAATCCAGGAGTTTTAGTAGTAAGCTGTGGAGAGTTGGAGTGGCAAGTTCTACCGGTAGCTTAGCTCTGGCAGTTAAGTGGCCCCAAGTCAGTACCTCTGTGCCTGTGAGTTCTCAGGGGATGCATTAACGCTTCTCCAGGCACTTCTGGTCCTTAGGTGAGAAAATACAAAATTAAAATACAGCATAAAAAATTGCACTGAAGAGCCATCTATTCAAAAAATGTGTTCTTGCCATTACTATTACCTGCAGTTTTCAGAGAAAGAGACTTAGGAGAGACAAATCTTTGTATTTTTTCATGTTCTTAACTTTGGTTTGCCTGTAGTATATTTTTTTTTCTTCCATAGAGCCAGTTCATCCATCAATTCCCTTTAGACCTGCAATGTCCCCAGTATGTGAAGGCTTTAACTCCAGCTCTGCATCCCCTTTTATTTCTATATATATGCTGAGTAGATGCATTTGTAGAAAGAGAGAATTACCTAAGATCCAGCTGTAGGTGGATGGTTCTCCCTTGATCTGCTTGTTTGGAAGTGGCACAGTGACTGCTTTGAGTCTTTCAGGAGTGTTATTACCTGTGATAGGCAGAGAAGGAGAGGATAAGAAAGGCTGACAGATCAATCTTCCTGTAAGGAATGTGAAATGTGAGCATAATAGAAATTTATTTTTTCAAAATTTTCAGGTGGTAAACAACTTCTGGAGATCCATTGTCCCCATGAGCTACTACTGTTCAGAACATTTTTATCTTACCTTGTTCATCTGGCATTTCATATCTATCATAAAAAGAACAAGTAAGTTCCATCTTGCATTGAAAATTATTTCAGTGTAATCAGTTGGAATCTTCCCAGACAGGAGTATTTTTGTTTCACCTGTAGAGAGAAGGGTCGTTGTCTGGACAAGTGTTTCTCAGAAATGATGTCCAGGAACGTTATTCCCACTGCCTGCTGTGTCCAAGGTAAGCAATGGTGTTTCTTCTGTGCAGAATTCATCAATCAGCAGCACACACATCACTGTTCTATTATAACCATGCTTTTTTACCAATTCCTTTTAAAAGGTATCTTGTTTTCTGAAGAAAGATACAGTGTTTTTGCCATGAGCTACATTGACAAATGCTGGGAGATATACAGAGCTTTTCACAGCCGGGGGCTCAACCCTCCCTTTGAACCCACCATGAAGATAAGGCAATTTGTTTGGATGTTGGATGTAATAATCTCTTTTTTTTCCTGGTTTGTGTGATTAGCTGTGCTTTATTTGTTCAGTTTATATAGGCTTTTTAGAATACTCCCTGTGGCTTCTGCACACTTGAAAAGGTAGGGCTGATGTTATTGGTGCCAACTGTCCAGCAGACATTAAAGGGATGGTTGTTCTACAGAAATTATTTATGCATTTTTTCAGGATTGAATTCTAATTTTGTACTTGGTCATTTCAGAGGATCAAATCTTAGACACAAATGTTTTAAGGGAATATAAATACTTTTTCTGGTCCCTCCTGTGTCCCTCTCCACCCCATCCTATCAAATGTGTGTATGAACATGCCTTATTGTTAGAATTCAAAGACTGGCAGCTATTGAAATAACTCCTAATAATATATTTACTGCAAGATGACCATGAGATTCTTTATTAAAATTCAGTAATTCCGAGACAGATCAAGATTACTCTGAAGATAGGGAACAATTCCTATTAACATGCCTGGGGTTTGGGTGACTGTCACTTTATAAATCCAAGCCATTTTTTCAGGAAAAAAAAAATCAGATGGCAAAATTGTAACTTTTTACATTTTTGTTTATAAGCTTTCCACAAGCCTCTCTTTTAACTCTGTTTTTGCGGTCTAAGGAATATTCCCATTGGCTTCAGTAGGGCCAGAATTTCACTGTGTTAATTCCACAAGTGGAAATACCATTTGAAACCAATAGAAATGTGGGTACTGGCTTTACAGGGAGGTAGATGAGGTTCATGTGGGAATGCCTTAAGTTAACATGTTACATGTTAACATGTAACCTTTACTCTTACCCAGGAATTGAAACTTTTCAACCAACAATTAACTGTTTCGAGACTTGTGAAAATACTTGTCAAAGTTGGTGCCTCTCGACGTTCTAGGACTGCTATCAACATGGAAACGGAGGTGTGTATGGAAAAAAACATAGTTCATGGCTACAGGAACAATTAAAATTGCTTTTAAAAACTGCTGCAAATACTATCCTACCTTTATTGGGGGGAAAAAAAAAAGTACAAACTCAAGCCTCTATTTTTGTCTTCCTTTATTCTGCCTGTACCTTTTAGTTTAGTTCATGTACATCTATATTTTTCTTAATATCCTACTCCTCTTAGTACAGTCTCAGCATCTGGCCCATCCAGGTAACTCCTTAGGGGTGCCACAGCCCGCAGGGGGACATCACTGCCAGGACACTCCTGCTGCTGCTGCTGGGAGTTCTGTCTGAGGAGCTGCCTGACAGGATGTGTATCAGTGATTGCACAGAGATCAATCTCTGCACTTCCAGCTGCCAAGGCTGTTGAGGCGGATCAATAACTAAGATGTGAACCCAGTGAGCCTGAAAATCTGGTGATTCCAGAAACCTGGTTAGTGCCCTGTGAAGTGCTGCCACCTCAGTGAGGCTGAGTAGTGACTGTAGAAGACTCCTGTGCTCCCCCAGAGCTGGCTCAGTCTGCAGGGTTCTCACCCTTCAACAATTAGCTCTTAGTCAGCAACAGTCTGTTGTAATTACTTGACTGAATTTGTTTTAAACAGCTAAACTGAACACACAGTGTAAGTCTTACAGGGGATCCATCTTACACCCATTCTTGGCATTTTTTGAAGCTTTGTATGCAAGTAAAATATTTTAGGTAATAGCGGTAGCTGTGAGTTACTTGTTAGGGAAATTTCTTACAGCTGTAGATAAATCAAAAATTCTATGCAGCATTTTAGTTCAATATGCCTTGTATAAGATGTAACACAGTGTATCACCTCCTGAATTTATTGAGCTTTGGATGTTTTCAGTTTTTCTTCAGAAGAAGAGGTGTTTGACTAGTCAAGTGAGACTTCACAATCACTTCTGAGTTCTTTGCTTGCTCAGTTACACATGCCTGTTAATGAGGGGATTTTGCAAAAACGAGTGAATGTAACCATTGTGTTTCTTTTACTCCAGCTGGTTTTTCTGGAGTTTTTTGAAGCTCTCCTGGAATGTGCAGTGGTGTACGTTACCCCTGACATGGCTAAGGAGCACATGGCTCAGGATGATCAGAACGGAGCTGGCTTTAGATTCAAGAATTTCTCCAGGGAAACCTCAACTTTGTCCCTGTACTCAGGATATTCTCAGGTAAAATTAATGCAGACCTGTTAAATATTATTATTTCCACTTAGAGGGTGAAGTCAGGCCCTGCAGATTTTCTGTTTCCTGAATGTAGAAACCAATTTCCTCTTTTTGCATAAAAAATTGTTTGATTGGGTCCTTCTGCTTTTTCTGTTTCTTGCTACCTTAAATTGTAACATCAGTTTTAACACATCTGCACATTTTCCTAGATTACTATAAATACACATAAAACACTTGCAAACTCTCTGAAGGGGAACAGATTGGTTGGCTGGTGGAAGGCACGTCTCTCCTGCTTTAAGCTGACTGTCCAAAGTGGCATTGCAGCTGTAGTAGGTAGCAAGCCTTGCTGTTCCCCAGCTAAACTTCTGAATAAGGATTTTGGAGGTTGTAAGATGCTGGTGCAATTTGGATGCACAGGGGTAGTTGAAGGCATGAATTAGAATCATTATCATCTGGAATTATGTACAAGGTGAAAGCATTTTTATTAACTCAAAGAGCATTCACAAACACCTCATTTCACAGAAAAGAAAATCTTAATTTCAATTTACTGAGGGTAAAATTCATCTTGTGTTTACATTTCCCTAGTGCATGTACAGCAGAAGTCCAATTGGTGCAGACATAAACAATGCCGTTGCTGAGGCAGCTGAGCTGTGCATCAGCAGCAGATGAACAATAGTATGTAGAGCAACATGTGAGAACAGAGGAACATGTCTAAGAACAGGAGCTTTTCATTCTCTGTAGTTCTGTCTTTCCCTAGCCCTGAAATAGGATAATCCTACTTGCCTGGCAGGTATCAAAGGTGAAGTGTTACCTGCTAATACCTGAAAAGGTGAAACACTATTGCAATTTAAATGTTCTGAGAGAGGCACGACTGCAGAATGCATTTGGTTGGCAGAAAGCTTTGGGGATGGGAATTTGCATGACTCAGAGGGACTTGGGATCTCACTTTTTAATTTGAACACGAGCCCAGATGTTGAGTAACTGAATTTAAAACTTCTTGCCAGCCACTGAGATCTTGTGAAGAGAAAGAGCAGTGTCAGCAGGCATCTCTTCTGGGTGAGTACTGCAGTTCCAAAGGATCTATAAAAATAGAGGAGATTCACTCTTTCTGCAGCTTTCAAGATGAAAAGCTTTCCATACCTGCTGCACACAGATGGGCAGGTTTGAAGCTCTGAATTTTCTATGCTCTTTAATTAGGAGCGATCACTTTTTCCTTAAAAATAACTTAAAAGGCTTTTTAAACCTTAATTCTTCCTGTTCTGCCCCACTCATCTGGGCATGGAAACAAGAGATTGAACTCTGCACTGTTGTCTTCATTATAGACAAACTTTTCATAATTTCAGAAGTATTTCAACCACAGGTCTAGCTGTCAGGTCAGGGGACAATCTATATTTGTTTGTGCTGAACACCAATCTTGATGTTTATTGCACAGAATTAAAGAGTGACTTCTTTTAATTTTCTTTCTTTGCAACATTAGAGACTGTCCTGTCATTTGCCCCAGCTTGTGCAGACACCAACGATGATCCGTCGTTGTTCAGCTGGGATGCAGGGAAACAACCAGATGCCTCTCCAACAAAGGAACTGGCAGGTAAAGCATTCCTACTGATTTAATATTAACACCTCCCCCCCCAAAAAAAATCCCTTGTAGCTCTTGAACTGTGAAATTTTAGTTGCATATGCAGATTTCAGCTTGTCACAAGAGGGCAGTAAATGAACATCGATTCTGGAGGAAGATTTTTTTTAAAAAAACTTAAAATATTTTTAAAAAGAAAATGAAACTTCATAAATAAATTAGACATTTAAGTATTGACTTAAAAGGTTTCCCCAATTTTAAGATGCCACATTTTATTTGTAGGGCATCTATAAACTGTAATTTGTATTTACTCTATGATAAGCTCAATCTGTAAGCCTGCTTGTTCAATGTCTTGGACAAATAAAATATATTACTATATATTTTATATTACATTATATATTACTATATATACATATATATGCACATTATATATTACTATATATTTTATTATATATATATATATTAATATTTTATTATATATATATATACAATGTCCTGCTTCTTTTATTTAGTATAAGAATTATTCCTAGTGGTGTGCCACCATTAGCTGGGATAAGATGCCTTATGTTAGGACAGGCCAATATTCATGCAGAAGAAACATCAGTAAGAGCACTTTTTTTGTACCATCTTCTGGCTGATTAGCAGATCTCCTCAAGGATTGGGTTTTTGTGCTTGTTAAATGTTTCCTGCTGATAAAGAACTCAAAACCAAGAACATAGGTAGACAAGGATCTTTGTGTGGTCAGCAGCTCTTTCACTGAGATCTGATCACTGAAAAGTTGCACATCTGAAAAAAACCAGTGTTTCTTCAGGCCCCTGACCTGGGCCCTGTCCTGTTTTCTGACAGCCATGACAACTGGATGTTTGCATTCCCTTCTCTTTGTGCTCATTTGCTCCTCCATTCCCCCTGCCCAGAAGTCACAGATCCAGAACTGTCATCAGGTCACTGCAGAAAACAATTCCAGGATTAAAGGGGAGAGTCCACAGCTTTTTGGTGCCATTCCCAGGGCCAAGGCACTCTGAGGCCCCACCAAAGGGCCATCCCTTGCCCATTGCATCATTCCAAGGGTCTCTGAGTGTCATGTCCTGGACATGCAGGAGCCAGTTCCCCATTGCACTGACACAGAGCTGCAACACTGCACTCCAAACCACATTTGAAATAGAAGTGCCCTGCTAAATAAGCATGTTTAATTTACGTGTTGCAGATGAAGCAGAAGAAGACAGAACTGAACAAGATGAGGAATTTTGTCTGTGGATGTGTCAGGTGGAAATCTTTTTCACAACTAAGCTCTTCCCTGCTTACCAGCAGGAGAAAGTGCTGAGGCAAAAAGTAGAAGAAAAGCAAAAGGAGGATGTTGAATTAGCTGAGCTGAGAAAGATCAAGGATGTGGAGCTGGCAAAGTAAGTGTGGAATCTTGTCTTGCAGTACTGTTACCTCTTATCTTCCTCTAACAAAATTATTGAAAATGAGAAATGTGCTTAAGGAAGCAGTTTAGCTTACTGGAACTGGAAAACAGACTCATCCAGGTGTAATTAGTAACACAGAGAATGTAACTGCCTGGAGTAACAAAGACAGGTTGCTTTCAGGTTACAGAACTCCTAACTCTGATATTTCCTGGCAAGGACAGTTAAGGTATGTTTGGACTTGAAGTGGTGGTTGGACAGACTGTGCTTCTCTCCACTAGGACAGTTCATCCTGCTCGGGCTGTGAGTAGGGCTGGAGTTGCTCAGCCAGGATAAATCTGTCTCTCCCCTCCTGCAGTTCATTAAATTCCAACTTTGTCCATTCAGACTCATTGCTGAGAGAGAAGCAGAAGAGGAAAGAAGACGAGAAGCAGCTGCAGCAGAAGCAGCAGTTGCCTCCCAGAGCATGGACGTTGAGGCGTCCGAGGATCCTGAGCCACAGGAAGGGTCCCCACGGAAGGGAAGCAGAGCCCGCCTGTCGAAGGGGGAGGCACAGAGCGGAGAGCTCTCCCCAAGGAAAGATTCCCACGGGAAAGAACCCTCCCAGAAGAAAGAGGCCCACAAAAAAGCCCCCTCAGTGAAGAAAGAGGCCAACCAGAAAGCCCCCTCAGTGAAGTCAGAGGCACAGAAGGCAGCACCTGCAGGTAACAAGGTGCCTGCGAACAAGACAAGGAAACCCTCTGGTAAAAACCACTGAAACTTCAAACCAGTTCTCTTCAAATAGAAAAAAAAACCCCCAAACCAACACCAGAACAACACTTGTAGGGAGCTGAAAAAATTATAAGACTGTGTGCACAAGAATTGATTTCAAAGGGAAACTGTTTCACACCAGGGTCTTGGGCAAGTTCCATGGCACTAAACTATCAGATAGTCACACAATGATGCAAATGAACACAGGAAAACAAAAAGATGCCCTTAAAAGTGTAACAATTATTAGTTTTATTTTCCAGCAAAATATTCACATAGCATATCAGAATGGAATGGTACAGATGAATTCAGACTGGTTTTGAATTAGCTTGCACATAAACATCTTTAAAATTTAAAAATTTTATGGTCAGAGTTTACAGATTTTAGTAGAAATTTTGATTCTTACAAAGCAAGTATTGCTTTACTATTGTCATTATTCCAGTCAATAATATGACTAATAACTTCTCATGTTGAACAAGTGCCTGACATCGACATCTTCAATAAATCAGCCCTTTGCAGATCAATCCAAGAAGAAAATATTATTAAACTGTGTTGCACAAAGTTTCTTCACTTCTTCTGTTAAAACAAACACACACAAAAAACCCTTTAGTATGATATTTTTACAGAAACCTCCTCAAGAGAAACCCTGGGGATCATCCCAGAGAATATAATTAAATTCAAACAGAAAAAACCCTATGAGTTTCTAATGTAAAAATACATTTAATGTTACTCTGTCTTCAGCAGGAGAAAGTCAAGCCTGACATCTCACGCTGTCTGAAAGGTGAGTTGTATTTTAAGCGGCTGAAGTGTAAATGAGGGGCTATTTGGTAGACAACACTTTCTAAGTTTATCAGGCACAGAAACACTCATTTGCTGTTTCTGTATGGCAGGTTTGATGCTGAAGGACAATTACACAAACATTTCTACATCATGCAACTCATTTCTCTTTTTCAAGTGTAGGTTGCAAGGCTTTGGTCCTGGAAAGTATTAATTCTGTCCCACTGTCTGAGTGAGCACATTCCTCCTGTTTCAACAGAGAGCCCTAAAATTGCTGCAAGCAAGATTCAAACAGACTTTAGGAGAAATAGCAGTTTAAAAGCTTATTCCATCTTAATGTTCATTTGCACTCTGAGTCACAGTAAATCATTCTGAAAAGCAGGTTAGAAACAAGCCAGCAATGGGCTGAGGATCCCTGGCAGGACAGACAGACAGGTATCATGTGTAAGAACCTACCCCTGGATCACTGATGGATAAAACCCAACTCAGAGGTAAATATGTTCATCTCTCACCTGTCATATACTGTATTAATTACTCCTGAACTAAGCTCACAGAGCTCTCCTCTATTATTTGAAGAAGGAATAATGACTGATTAATAATTAAGAGTGCCTGCTGAATATTTATGCTATTCTTTCACAGCTGGTAGAAGGCAGACTAAAACCTTAGGCAAACTCACCTGGTCTATCAAAGATCAATCACTCTCTACATTTCTCATGAGATGGATTTTATTACTTCTCTAGGGACATACATTTTAGCAGTAACTGTATTTAGATGTAATAAAAAACAATCCTTACCATTAACTTCAATCAGATTTACATTTTTTTGATTCAAAATAACATAGAGTTCTCTCTGGTCAGACTTTTTCCCAACTACCCAGTAATCACTCATTGCCTTCACAATAATTTCCTCATCTTCATCAACTCTGAAAGAAATTTTAGGAAGTCAAGAAGGTGGCAGCAAGTTCATCTTCAACAATTTTGTCTGTAATCATTAGAACTGTTCCATGTCATAAGTTGTTGAGGCTGTGCAGTATCAAAGAGAATACCCATTCTAACTCAGCCATCATTGGCAGTCCAGGACAAAGGCTTCATAAATGGCTGCTTGAGACATCCCCAAACGTGTAAATCATTAGTTTGTCCATCTTCCAAACACTCCAGTGCTCTGAAGAAAACATCTCTCCTGTGTTCTGGTAAGGACACTCCCAACAGAATGATGGTTTGCTCTGGGTTGGTGATACTGAGCTGTCACAGAACTAACTGCTGCACCCAGCCCTAAACCCTGCTCAACACTTGGATACATTCTATAAAGCTGTCACTGACCTACTACTTCCATAATATGATGAAACATTCTTTTTTCATTCACAGAAAAATGAAAACCTTGTCCTTAAGCAGCGTGGGAAAACTGCTAGTTGTTAATTAGAGTTACAGGCATCACAGTCATTCAACATTTTCATGTTCTTTACTATCGTGACAGGGGGTCTCTCCCACCTTCAAGCTTGATATCCATTGACAAGAAGCCACTTTTCTTCTCCATCAGGACTGTAGACACTGCAAGGTCCACATTCCACCACTGCCTCACCTCAGCAGCCCCCAGCTGGGGCAGGGCCAGGGATGGCACTAGCACAAGCAGCTTTCCCTGTCCTTTATACTACCCTAGATTAGTCAGACTTTAGTGCTTCCCATCCCATTTGTTATGACTACTCTGAAGCCTCCAATAGATCAGATATTTTCTTGGATAGAGGCCCTGGCCCTCTTCTAAGTTATTTTTTTAAAAGGACACCAGAAAGTCTGTTTAGGATGGACTACTTCTAAAGCAACACAAAATACCAAACATGAACAGCCAGCCATCAAAAAAAGGACTGGAAATCTTCAGCCATTTGAAAAAAAAATCTCATTGACAGTAGGAGTTACAGACTATTTAATAGTTAAGCATTACCTGGAGAAGTCACTGTTGATGTCACCGAGAATCTTCATGAGGTCAGGGTGAACAGATGCAAGTGATACACTGGGTGTTTTCCTCATGTGAATGGTACTTTTCTCTGCCAGGTTCATGTGATTGAAATAGATAAACTTAAACTGAGGTTCCTTCTCAGCCCTAGGAAGATTTAAAAAGAAAAAAAAAAGTCATTTGTGAATACTGACATGTTCTATAAGCACAGGCTTCACAGAGAACGGGTAGTGAGCCAGAGCAAAGCTTACTCAGACAGCCTGAAGTCACCTTTGCATTGGAGACACCCAAGTGTTCTAAGATTTGTGGGATTGCACTTCATTTGAGCACAGTTTAAAAAACCAAACCAAAACACAAACAAGCCTGCAACACCAGCCAGTGTTTCCCCTTCTGCTGCTTAGGCTGCCAGAGGACAGACACAGGGAGTCTAAAGGCCTCGTCCCCCTCCACAGTAGTAGTTCATTTGCATTTTTCTAATGAGCTGGTTTTGTTCTGTCCCATTTTGTTCCCTTGCTGCTCTCCCTAGGCCAGTCCTATGGGATTTGAATGGATGCTCAGTCTTTACTTTGATCAGTAAGTCATCTTCCATTCATGCCTTTGTTACTGGTTACAACCCAGAGAACAAACTCCTCCTTGATCCAGGCAATTAGATTTGCCCCCAGCATTTGTGTGGGCCAAGCAAGAGACTATTTTCACAGCCCTGGCAATCTTCCTCCATTTCCTCTTCTATGAAGTTAACATAAAAACTGTCCCTCAGAGCTGTAGTTTTGGTAGAAGCCACAAGAAATTCAGACATGCAAGAACTGCCTACAGCAACTGGTACTTGAGACAATGCATTATTTAGAAGCAGGGAGATACTGTGATGACACCACTCACCTCAGCAAACAACCAGATACCCCTGCTCTCTGTCACCCACATGCATCAGTGTCAAGAAACTGGATCATGTTTTCAGGGCACCATGGCATTAAACTTTTAAAGAGTTAAAGCTGCCAAAGCCAGTCCCAGATGACATTTAAAAAGCCCAAGTTTAATGATTTAGTAGGTTGGCACAATTTCAAGCACATCCTATTCTATCCCGTGCGATTTTGCTGATTTGGGAAGCTACCACTGAATGAGTTCACTCACACACCTATCTTTGGTTGAACTCCTCCTTTGTTGCCACATGTGACGCTGTTCTTGCTTCCCCAACTAACACATCCATTGAAAAATAAATACAATTTTATGGCAAGTCAAGTCCTCAACTGTAAAGCTTCTGTTGTAACCAAATAATCCACTCACTAAAATGCTTCGTTTCTGTTTTCCTCCAAAAAAGCTAGAAAGTATAAACTGAAGATTTTGAGGGAACTGCAACTTCTCTACCTCAACATGGGGGAGAAGTGTCAGAAGACCTGCCAGTTCATTTCTATGCACACATGAAAGAAGCTCCACCTCTTACACCTGAATGCTTTGCTGGCAGCTGGGGCAGGAGGAGGCAGAATGTCAATTGGTAATGGTCATATTTGCCTTAGTATTTACATTATTTTCTCTGCAACAATTATGTACACAGAGGGAAAAGATTTCAATCACACAGCAAACATTCACTCCTAAATTAGTAACATCTGTGTTGTTTCTTCAGGGAGACCTAAGGACATGCACTTGATAAACACTTAGGGTGCAGAAAGGCAGACAAACACTGTTCTAAGTACACAGTTAACTCAATGCTTTCAAAACCTGGGCTCATATTCTTATTTCAGCAGTTCATTAAACCTGACTTTTCACCATGGGGGAATGCAGCAGGAAGAGAAGTGTGGTACAAACCCTGCTATCCTCTTGTTGATGTTGTACTGCTCACAGATGTCAGATGCCAGCACGGTGAGCTGCGGCCCCACGATGCTGTCCAGCCTGCGGCAGAACTCCAGCGTGGGCGGGATCGAAGCTGGGCAGGCAGAGAAGGGCACAGATGAGATTCCCTGCCCACAGCTGAAGGGACACTTCCTGCAGCTCTTTTCTTCAAACATCAGTCAAAGTCCAAGCACAAATTTTTCTCATAGTTACAACCTTATGGGCAATTTTGAAAGTGGTTCACTGAAGCAGTATTTAGTGTGTCAATTGAGTTACTTGTGCCACTGGAGCAGACTGATAAAAGCACTCATGAGAAAGAGACTCAAATAGCAAATTGATGTGAGTATTTTTCACGAGTAAAACAAGCTGCACGTGAAAGTATTTGGTACTAAGTACGTCTTGCCAAAGAAGTGATGCTGACACGTACTTACCATCAATCATAAAGCAGACAGCTGCACTCATGGCCTGGAACAAAAAAAGTGAAAGCAAAAAAAACCATTTACAACAAGTACTTCATTGTATAGAGATTCCTAATTCTGTAGAGGAATTGCAGAGAAAACTCTCATACCTTATAAACAATTAAATGA